AGCGAAGTCAAGTGGGCCTTAGAAAGCATTGCTAATAACAAGGACAGTGGAGGTGATGGCATTCCAGCTGAACTATTTAAAATCTTAAAAGATGATGCTGTTAAGGTGCTACACTCAATATGCCAGCAAGTTTGGAAATCTCAACAGTGGCCAGAGGACTGGAAAAGATCAGTCTACATGCCAATCCCAAAGAAGGGCAGTGCCAAAGAATGCTCCAACTACCATACAATTGCACTCATTTCACACGCTAGCAAGGTTATGCTCAAAATCCTCCAAGGCAGGCTTCAGCAGTATGTGGATCGAGAACTCCCAGAAGTACAAGCTGGATTTTGAAGGTGTAGAGGAACTCGAGATCAAATTGCTAACATGCGCTGGATTATGGAGAAAGCCAGAGAGTTCCAGAAAAACATCTACTTCTGCTTCATTAACTACGCAAAAACCTTTGAGTGTTTGGAGCACAGTAAACTATGGCAAGTCCTTAAAGAAATGGGCGTGCCTGACCACCTTATCTATCTCCTGAGAAACCTATATATGGGACAGGAAGCAACAGTTAGAACTGGATATGGAAACACTGATTGGTTCAAAATTGGGAAAGGAGTACGACAAGGCTGTATATTGTCCCCCTGCTTATTTAACTTATATGCAGAATACATCATGCGAAAGGTCGGACTGGAGATGATACTAACTCTGATGGCATAAAGTGAGGAGGAATTCAAGCAAGGAAATCAACCGCAAGTGCTCACTGGAAAGACAGATCCTGAAGCTGAGGTTCCAATCCTTTGGCTATCCCATGACAAGAGAAGACTCCCTGGAAAAGACCCTGATGTTGGGAAAGTGTGAAGGCAAGAGGAGAAGGGGACGACAGATGACAAGATGGTTGGACAGTGTCATTGAAGCTATCAACATAAATTGGACCCAACTCCGAGAGGCAGTGGAAGATAGGGGGGCCTGGTGTGCTCTGGTCCATGGGGTCACGAAGAGTCGGACATGACTAAATGAGTAAACAACAACAAATTTCACACCTATGTCAGTGTTCTCTATGCTTCTCAATACACACCACCAAAAACTTGATGTTAACTGCCCAAAATGCTCTTGAGGTTTCCCATTACTGGGTAAAAGTGATATGATACATTTCAAGAGGATATTAAAGACTTTTTTCTGTTTCTGGAAGCATTTGAAGACATCCTCTCTTAAGTTTATTTATTTATTTATTTACAATATTTTTTAGCCGCACCATTGCCAGTGGCTTCTTGTCTATAAGACTTTTTTCTGTTTCTGGAAGCATTTGAGGACATCCTCTCTTAAGTTCTTGTCTATGTGTGCTTCCTGGAGTACACCATCATTTGGGGGTTTAGCTGAAGTAGGAATTTATTTTATTGGTTTGTTGTGTGGTTGGGATTCTTGTTTATTTTATCTTTGTAAATTACTTAATGTCCCACACTAAATCAGTAGTAAACAAACCAACCAATAAACCATACTGTGGTGATTCTGATATGAAAAGAGAAAGAAAGAACAGGATGTAGTTAAGTTTTCCAGTTGTACCTGCACTTTTAGCTTTGCTGCATCCATCTTCTTCCTAAATTCTCTTTGTAACCTGGCTTTTTCAGCAATGTCTCTTTGCCCTTTGTTCTCTAGCTCCTGTAACTGCTTTTGTGTTTCAGCTAAATCCATTTTAGCTTGCTCTGCTTCATGTTCCAGCTGCGTTATTTTCACAGAATATTGCTTGCTTACAGATTGGGCATCATTACCTTAAAAAACACACCCAGATTTTTAAAAAGCGTAAATATCACTTGCAACGGTTAACACTATAGCAGTTTCTTTATTAATTTTTTTAAACTACCTATTATTATTGTTACTAATTTATTGTTAACACTTTTATTGATAATTTTAAAGCAAGCTTTTAAAAACCTCTTTCATTTCATAAACACCCTTTGGCAACTTTATTCTCACACTTCCCTTCCTCACCTCATCCTGGCAACTTTATTCTCACATTGACCCTGTGAGGTAGGTGCCACTAAGAAACATTATTGGCACAAAGTCACTCAGTACAATGTCACAGCTAACTGGAGGTTTGGATCCATTTCCAAGTCTTATATTGGTGCTCCACCCACTACACACCCACATCCTTGCTTTTAGTTTCTCTCCCCAAATTCTACATTAGCTATGTAGTAGACTAAATGCTACTGTTGATTTCAGAGTGATTTTGATCACATTCTTACATATATCTTTTTATAAAAGGCAATCCACAAAACAATTACCTGTTTTCACCAATTCTTTAATAAGTTCTTCCTTCATTCTGATATTAAGAGTGAGTTCATTCATTTTTTGCTTAGCAGCAATAAGTTTTAGCTCTGAATTCTTTAACTTCTGCAAGTTTAATATCTGACTTTTCTGGATGCATTCAATATCAGACCCTTGAAAGAAAGTGGAGTTGTTTAAAAACATGAATCATGTTCCCAAAGCAAAAAAGAAAAAAGATTTAATGTTAACATGAACATACATTGACTAACATGTGAAGTCTCCAAGTGAGATTTGACAACGTGGCCATTATTAAGCACATTGTTTGCACTACATTAGCCAGCCAAGGCAGATATGCTTAGCTTAGGGATGTTGAATATTATCCAAGTAGTGCACAAAATAGGCATGAAATTTAAGTGAAATCAGAGTGCTTCATCAGTTGCCTGAGTTCACATTCTCTAGCATCCATTACAAGTTTCCATATTGACAAAGTGCTATGCACAATCTTCATCTGATATTAAGGGAAACACATCCATGCAGTCTAGTTGCACCGGGACATGAACATGGCTGTGGGATTAGAGGGGTTGCAGTAGAACATAATTTAGAGAGCATCAGATTGGAGACAGCTGGATAGAGGAAAATGTTGTCTTGCACCAGAAAATCTTGTCTGTTGTGCTAAAAAATAGAAGAATAAACTACTAATATGACACATAGCCTATATTTTTTGTATCTGATTTTATATTGGCTTGTTGTGCTGATCCATATGATGCTGCTAAATTATTGTGGACTGATGTCTTTGCCATTCATCTCAAATTTAAGTGGAAGTAATGGAAACCAGAACAGCAATATAACAAATAAAATATTGTGAAACAGATACGAGTTCTACAAATATTAAAACGAGTTTGCAATCTAGTACAAATATGCATCACGATTATTTAGATCCCAGTTCATGTTTCCACAAGCCTCATGTTACTTTTTTGACAAGGTATTATTATATTATATTATCAGGAGATAAGACTTAGTCATAGTTTTGTATCATATAATGAATTTATCTTCCTTACCTGTAACAGTTTCTATCTGTGACATATTTCTGTCTTTTGAATGGTGCTGCATGTCTTCTTGTGTAGAACTCTGAGGAGCCTGTTTTTGTGTCCATGTACGGTTTAAGGAACGTCTAAAGAACATTTAAACTCACATTTTAGTTATGTTTAAGTAAAGAAGTGAATTTGAGACAAGTATCTTAATTAGACAATGGGGAAATTATATAAGGTCACTTAATGCAAATTACAAAACAGATCCTGCTGAATAACGCTGTGGTTAACAAAAACATTAACTTGCTGTTTGGTTTGACCAACAGGCACAGAGCAAAAATTCTCCTGCTTGTGTTCCTCATCTCAACTGAGAGATCTTAAAAAGTCACTTCTCTCTGTGCAAGAACATATTTGTTACAATGTAGAGCTAACCCAGATATTAATTTTCACTGTTTGTAGGTTAAATATGTTATTATTGCCCAGTCTGACACATGATTTACACTCACTGAGTTTGTGGCTGATCAGTGTTTGCTGCTATACATACATAAATGCAACTAAAAGGTACCTAAATGGCTGTCTCTTTGTGCTCTTGAGATTTTTTTCATCTTCATCGCTGTGATCAGAAAAGCAGCAATGAAGAACTTCATCTTGTTCTTCTATGTGATCCAGTATTATCTGGCTGCGGGTCTGAAATCCAGCCATTACTCTGTTTAAGGAGTATGTGGGAGGGCTTGTGTGTACCTTTGAATATATGGAAAAGAAAGTGTTGTCTGAGGAAATTTTTATCACATTTATATTCCATTTGTACTTCAAGGAGCGCAGGGCAGGTTACAGGGTTCTCTATGCTGCCTCATTTTAGTCCACAACAATCCTGCAAGGTATCTTATGCTAAGTGAATGTAACCAGCCTAATCACCCAATAAATGTCATGACTAAGTGACAAATTAAGCCTTCAGCTCCTAAGTCCTCGTATAACACTCTAGCCACTCTAAATACTAATTAACCAAACAATTCAGTGCATCAAACATTTTAGTACATCATACGAAGCAAATTCCCTCAACAATATCATGGGAGGAGAATTAAGACAGAACTCTGCATCCGAAAGGAACACTGCATCTCCGCATTTTAATCAGAGTTGCATTAGCAGCTCCCATTTTGAGACATCTGCACAACTGATTCTGGCAACCGTCCAAGATGGGTTGGTTCCCACAGCAGCTTGGATGCCAAAAGACACAAACACCAAATGTCTGGGCTTGGTATGGACTTCAGGACTGTTCCAACAAGGTTATATGGTAGGACATTGTTTGTGCTATGCTCCACAGTGCCACAAACAGGTAAAATCTCTTAACAACAAGCCATGGAGAGGCAAACTGTTGATCTGGCTCCTACGTACTGATACTACGACAGGTCCAGGTAACCTTTCCAGATTTTTTCCCTTCTACATTTAGCTAATCCAGAAAAGACAAAGAAGAAGACAGAGTATCTGTCAATCATTTCTGGCCTCCTGAGATCACTTGGAGAAGTTATCCATGCTAGGTGCTTTCCTTCACTAAAGATGAAGCTCAAAATACATATGCTTCTACTAAATATAGCCAGAGCAATATCATTTAAGCAACTGAATGCCTCAATTATTTTGGAGGAAAATATGATAGTATTAAATATGTAATCATTAGTGATAAGTATATTCATATAGTAAAGCAGGCTAAGAAAAGTGAGTTTATGATTTGGTAACTAGCAATAATCAACCAGGCTGCTCATGGTAAGGTAAAAAGGAAAAAAAAAACTGTGCCTTTCAGTGTGAAATATAGATTTAAGGCCTCTAAGAATGGCTTCTTTATTGCAAGAGCCCTCCGCTGCAGAGGAATAGTACACCCAAATCCTTGAAGTAAGAAATTATCTATGAAAAAGTCATTTACAGGTAACAATCTATAAGAGATTATTTGCAGAAAATCAAAGAGGCCACTACTCACTACTTATCACCACCCCTTCACACTAGATACTTGAAATACACTGTTTCTATACTTATTCTAAAAGTACAACAAGGTAACATAAATTAATAAAGGAAGATACATTTTTATAGCTACCTTTCGAGAATCCAAACCCATAGGAGTATTAATGGACTGTATCAAGCGTTTAGTTAGTGGAACACTGTAAGGCCTCTTCATAGATATTACAGTAGCTGGTCCATCTCCACAAGCACCACTGGAGATAGAAGCTTTTTCCATCTTCTCTAGACTGTCATTTAGCTGGTCAATTATAAGCTGTTGCTCCACCATTTTCTCATTCTTGAAATAAAAAAAGGATCTATTAAGCATCTGGTAAACTTACAAAGCTGAATACAGTATCTATTACTACCAGTAAAGTGGTCTTAAAAGTACAGTTTTTATTATGGATTTTCTCTGTATTTTTGAAGTGTCTGATACTACTAGTAGTCACATATGCTAGTTTTTCTTATATGCAATTCCATTTGATTTATTTGATTTTTGGAATTTCTGCAATACATCTTTAAAGCTAAAACACTTTAGCTGCTTGTCCGTATCTTTACGAACATTGAGAAAAGTTGCTCAAAACTTTTGAATTAATTTGTGCTAAGAACTGATTCTTGTTAAGATATAATACTAAACTTCATTGATGAGATCTCCTCAAGTGCAGTATATGATATTTAAATATGCATGATTAATCACATTCTTTCTCTTGAACGTCTGGCACAACTTAATTAATACAGTACTGAGTTTACTAACCTACATACATATAAATCTCATCTGAGTGTACCCAGTGGGACTTATGGCCAAAGAAAGCTGTATTGTATTGCATTATTAGACTTTCAAATTCTTGTATTTCAGCTAAAAGATTAACATCTTTAACATTATTTCCTTTAGATTTACCACGTAACTTGCAAAAAACAAGCATCACCTGTAGTCTGTTTGTATCCTGTGCCTCTTTCAGTGATTCCATATATTCTCTGTTCTCCTTTATCAGCTTCTGTATTTGATCTTGCAATACCTTTATCTCAAGTTCTTTCTCACTGAATAGTTCTGCATCTGTAGCAAGAGCCTGCTAGGTAGCAAAAAAAGGGGTGGTAGTTAGGGAATTAATGTCCAAACATATGAAATGGTAAGTTCAATTACACTTATAACCTATTAACTACTGTATCTCTGTCTTATTCTAGCATCCAAACAGAAAGTGTCAGAAACTAGAATGAGAAATATGTTCAGACACAGAATTTTGATCTATAGCAGATATAGTTAACTCTAGGATAGCAAGTACTGAAGAGGAAAACTTATTTTAATATTTGTTATTGCTAAGATGACAAACACATTGCTCTTGAAAACTCATCAAAACTGTCTCAGAGAAGATGTGTATGTTTCATGCATGTTTGAAGTGGCAAGGCTGCAATGAGAACAGAAAACAATGACTGGAATGGAAAAATGATTTTTTTTAAAAAAAATCTTTTTTATGTTATACGTCTAGCACTTTTATGAGGTGAAGACTGACAAGCTGTGTGTGACCTAGCAGAAACAGGCATTCAAAAGCTAGCAGCATGAAAGTGCCTTTTTCACCTTTTCCAGTATAATTCTCCTGCTGAGAATTGTTCATTTCTCACTCAGCAGCAGGACCAAAGAAACAGATAATCTGATTTTTTTTTCTGTTACTACAGAATAGATGTGCACTTTGCTATGCAGTAATAGGAAGACCTTAAGTAAAAGATAAAATGACAAAACTCAGAAAATATCCTACAGAGCTAAGCACATGTCATGTGATGAGTTAATATCAATGAATATTATAGTACACTTGGCTAAATCTGAGATTTTGTACACTGAATCAGTGAGTCAAGGTTGTACTGGCAAAAAAACCAAACCAAACCAAAAAGACATTTTACCACAGCATTTAACAGTTTGAACCAAATGCTGAATAATGGGAACAACATGTATTTTCCTATGAAGAGATACCAGCACATGAGTGCAAGGCAGGATTTTGTATGAGAATGAAAGTGTTCCATGAGTGGAACCCAAGTATGCACAATGGATGTTTCTCCTCCCTTTTCCTCCCTGCAGTAGCATGAGAGGATCAGAAGACTTCCTAAATATTGTGGAGTGTGTCATACAGGGCTTACAGTAAGAGATGGAAATCGTCAAAATCATCTTACACAATCCTGCAAGACCCCTCTGCCAGTTTTGTCCAATATCAACACTGTTCAAAATAGCACTGATCAGCAGAGAATGGAAATAAAGAAACAAATTATGCAATTCTGCAATGCAATACTGCTATAGATTTTTTAAAAATTACCCCAAACAATTTGCTTATATTTTAGTTACTCTAATTTTGATTTGCTACACAAATAAGTAACATTTAAACTGCATTCCAGGGAGAACACCACTGGGAGAATAAATTCAGTGCTGACAAATACCTACCATATTTTTCTGTGTATAAATGACACTTTTTCCTAAAATAATTAAAGGGAAAAATGAGGGTCGTTTTATACTCAGAAGTAAGGGGATTTGCAACAAAAATGTAGTGGGAAAGCAGGAATTGCTTTCCTCCTCCACTTTGTTGCAAAGAAATAAGTTTTGGGTTAGAAAAATGGGGAGGTCGTCTTATACATGGGGGCATCTGATACACGGAAAAATACGGTAATTGCAGACGCTTTTTACATGTTTTGCAATTTGCAAACTAGCTTGGTCTGTTTGTTTGGTCATTAGTTAGAATCTCTTCTCTTTTGATTTCATCTTCTGATAACAGACTAACTGCAACCCCAACTGTAATCTAAGAGACGTGCATGAGATTTATGAAGAATCTCTGATAGAATTCAGAATTAAGAAATAACCATATAATGTGATTTTGCTATATACTGTGAATTTTATATCCTTTTACTACTTGCAATACATTTATAGTAAATACCTGATATTTTTTCAACTCTCTCTTCAGCTGAAGAATTGTTATATGATGCGGCTCTTCTCGGTCACCTCCATTTCCTCTGTTTGTTTGGGGAATGGCTGGGACCTCCCGCCTGAGCTCCTGAGCCACACAGATCCAATCCCGCAGTTTTTCATGTTGACTTTTTGACAGGCTGACAACATTTCCTAAGTCAGCTAGGAATGCATAGGCTTCTTCTATGCAATTTCGGTAACTGAAACTTTCTATTTGAAGTTGAGCAAGTTGCTCTTCAAGAGAATGGATTCTGTTCCTCTCCTGAGTCAAATCCTGTGATCTCTGGCTACCGGGGATCTGTCCACTAACTTGTTGGTTTTGCAAAGCTTCACGAAGTAACTTAATTGCACATTCCATTTCATCAATACGATCCCAATCTGGATTGTAGTTAACAATAGGTTTGTTTCTAATATTTTTGGCTCTATTAGCATATTTGAGAGAATTTAGTGATTCATCAAAATCAGAAGATGATGGACTAATACAAGTTATCATGACAGTCTTGGCATTGCCACCTAAAGAGTCCTTAAGAATTCGGGTAATTTTAGCATCTCTGTATGGAATGTGCGCACCTTTTCTCCTTGAGTCTCCAAGAGCACTTACCACATTTCCCAAAGCCAGTAATCCACTGTTTATCTGAATGGATTCTTTGAACCTTTCACCTGTGTTCCCAGTTTTTGTTACTCTTTCTGATCCAGCAAGGTCCACAAAGTGGAACTTGGAAGCAATCAGCTGGCCTGAGCCTCGAGATGAATCTTGTGCAAAGTCTGTGTCCTTTTGAGGCTGCACTGGTTGCTGTTGTTGAAAAATACTGATTGTAAAAACAGCATGAGATCGGCTGGAATGTTCATTCATTTGTGTAGTACCTGTATGCCGAGCAGCATTCCCAGTTTCCAGCAAACTCATCACTTCATCTACACTTTCAACTTGGCAATCTTTGGCACCAACAATTACTTTAAAAAAGGCAAAAATATGGTAAACAAACAAAGCTGCCAGCAAAATATGGTGGATTATTTTAAAGGTTTTTTTCTCAAATAAAATACAGCATCAGAAATTAAGCAACTGTCATTTAATAACAAAATGTAACACTATAATTATATTTCGATCTGATGAGTGCTATGTAGCTCAGTGATAGAGCATATGCTTTACATACAAACATTCCAGGTTCAATGTCTAGCAGTTCCAGCTAGGTCAGCAAAAGAATTTTCTCTGAAACCCTGGGTGCCAATTAGTATAGACAATGCTGAGCTACAAGGATCAATGATCTGACATGAGATAAAAAAGCTTCTTAGGTTCAGGATTTTTTTTATAGCACTGAATAGGAAAACTACTAATATCAGCAACAACAAAACCATTACTATTGGAACCATTGATGATAATTGATACCAGAATCAACAGGAAACAACAAAGTTGATTACTTATACTGAAATTACATTTAGGTAACACCACAACTTCAAACATTTTACAGTTGTTCATTATTCCTCTACAAAATACTCACACTAGAAGAAAACGTTCAAGTTTATAGAAGCTACTCCAAAAAGGAGAGTTACTATGACCATTTCAAACTTAGTATTACATTAGAGATACTAATTTAAAGAGTAGTTTATAATGATTACTGTTTTGAGAGCAATGTTTCAACTTTACAGTATGCTAAAACATTGATCACAAATATAATACACAGTTATAAACTGCTGTAAATATACATGTTTAAAAAAATAGCTTAATGCAAGTAGCATATATATTTTAAGTACAAATTCACATCTCTACCTGTATTGCCCTTTTCATCTTCTCTAATATGTAGATCTTTCATAGAGGTCTCCAGTTCCAGTAGATCTCTAAGTTCTTCTTTGTAGACCTCTACATAAGAAACTTTCACAGTAAAGTCAATATTATGGTTTTCAAAAATAATCTGAAAAATTTCCTGGATTGCACGTGGAATGATACCTCTTTCTTCCTCAGCAATTGATGCTAAAATAAAAATAGGAATATGACTCCAAGTATGCAGTTCATATTGAGATACTCAAATGCAAAGGATTTACCTGTACATACCAGAATGTTAGAAGAAATCTGAAGACTTTTAATGCAATACATTATGAGCATAACATTGTTTTGTCAAGGTTAAACAGATCGTGCTACCCAAAATACAAATATTTGGTTATAATTTAGAAAGAGAATTAATGCGATATCTTCAAGAAAGACATGGGATAGAATCCACATCACAGTATCAGAAGGAATTTGCAGAAGCTGAATTCTCACCCACCCACCCCCTTGCTCAGCAGTCCCTTGTGCCTCCTGGAAAGCATCTGCTGTGGGTCACTACCACACAAGGAATTGCTGTAGTATGGAGGAAAGATGGAATCTCCTCAAATCAGATGGAGAAAGCTCCATCTATTGAAGGTGCTCCTGCTCAATTTTTGAGGATACCTCCTTCCCATGACCATGTATGCTAAAACCAACCTCATTCCAGAGGATCTTCTAATCCTTAGAACATGCTTTAAGAGGAGGAATCATACTGGTGATTGTGGGGAAGACAGCTTCCACAAACTCCCTTCCACCAATGTGACATTGTACATCTCTCAGAGACTTGATGCTTAGACACCTTCCTCTTCCTTAAAATACAGCTTCACAAAAAAGATACTGTACTCACTAGGCTTGTCTGTCCACACTGTTGTAGAAAATACTGTGGTTATTTTTATTTTTCTACCACTCTGACCAACAGATATGAAAACTATCTATAGCAGAATATGTTGCAAACCCTTCTTCTTTAGCCCCTCCTTTGGTAGAAGATAACCCCCAATATTAATACCCCTGCTGAATATTTCCTTCTCTTCAGTCCAGGAAGGGAAGTATAACAACACCCCTTACACTAAGTGTTTATGCCCCTGTAACTCTGGTGAGATCGAATCTATCTCCCATGAGTTACTTCACTGTGCTTTTTATTCTGACATTCAAGAAGTCCATGTTAACCCTTATATAAGGGCATTTCCTGGACGATCAGAGGCACATTTCACACTGCTTTTGCTGACAGGGCGATGCCCTAGCAGATATACTGGGCTAAATTCAGATATGCTGACAAAAGTAGTTAAATTCTGTGCTGCTGCAATCAAAATCTGTGAAGGAAAGGTTCCACCTAAAGCACAGCTATAGAATCTGTAAATTGGTGTATACCAGTTTGGTATAATGATCACATGGGCTCTATGAGCTTCAAAGTAACAGTTTTGGCATTCTATGCAAGCTGCAATAGCCCATAGATAAGGCCTATGATAGGGAGGTAGGAGATATTTAGTAAGTTGTATGAATGTAGTTTTATATACTGCATGTGTATACAGATGTTTTTAGTGCTTGGGTGTTTTTAGTGTTTTTAACGTTTTTAGATTGTTTTTATGTCTCCTAATTTAAATAATGTATCTTACTTTTGCTGGTCAATGACCGTAATAAAACATTTATTTATTATCCTTCCCAAAATCAATGCTAAACATCTGTGCTACCTTTGTTTTATTATGGGCCGCCACTACTACAATTGTGCTCAATTGTGCCTCAACTTACGAATGTCCCAACTTACAACCATTTCGACTTACAACCAGCTCTGGCTGCACTATTTTGCTTCAACTTGCGGCCAGAGCTTCGAGTTGCAACCGGAAAAAGGCAGGGAAAAAAGACAGGAAATTTAAATTTGCTAACTGTTGATAGGTGAAGAGGCTGCTTCTTTATAGCTCTTTCGCCCCTTTATAGCTCTTTCGCCTATTTTATAGCTCTTTCGCCCCAACGGCTAGAGTGAGTGCACTGGAGGCGGCTTAGGACTGCCTGGTAAGGTAAGGTGCTGCTTTCTAAAAACTGTTCTGGGTGGGTTTTGCAGGGTGGGTTTGGGCTGGGAGGGGTTATGTTTCTGTGCTGTCTTGTTGTTTTGGTATTTGGTGATTTTTTTTTGCAGCCCCATTGTTTATTTTTGGGTTTGTTTGGTTTTTAAAGCCCCAGCAGCTTCAGGGCCTGCTCTGTTATTTTTTGGTTTTGTTTTTTTGCAGCCCCAGCTCGTTCCTATGGGGCTTGCAGTGTTTTATTTTTATTTATTGGGGGGGGGGAATCTTCTGGAACAGATTAATCGCATTCAAATGCATTTCAATGGGAAATGGTGCTTCAACGTACGACCATTTTGACTTATGTCCATCTACTGGAATGGATTATGGTCGTAAATCGAGGCACCACTGTACTTGGTTTATATATATATATAAAAGCCAAGACTAAAAACTAAAGTATTGTGGTAACTTTAAATCAGGATTGGATCATTTATAATGGTTTAGAAATTGCCAATCTACAGCTTCCAATATTCCACATCACTGGTCATTGTGATAAAATTGCATACCAAAAATAGCTGAAAAATTACAAGCTGCCTACTCCTATTTTATATCATACTTAAACTGAGTGACTAATTTTAGTTCACTTATTTAATAATTAAGAATACTTCAGAGTGATTGCAGTGAATACATAAATGTTGTTACGTTAACCACTGCATTATTGCATAGCATAACACTGAAACTACTAAAAATGGAAACAAAATAAATTCCAGTACAAAAAGTTATGGCCACAAATTTGTCAAGGAGGACTGAATTCAAGAACTGTAGCTATCTTATTTACAAATATTCACCTTTTAAAGAGACAGCACTTACTACTCTTGTAGTAATAAGAATTAACCTTTTTATTGTCAATTATTTGTATCAGTAGCACGTCACCTTGCTAATCTATCCCCTGTGCCTCCCCTGTGTATAAGCTGTAGTTTTGCTTCACTCTATTACGTCTCAAAAATTGATGTATCCACAAATGTTCACATTAAAATATAACAGTTTTTAAAGTGCACAATTTTTTTCTTTTTAATAGGATTTCTTTTAACACGCGACATAACAATGCTTATGCAATTTTACCAAGAAAATTGTGTCCATATTACAGTAAAACATAAGTTTTCCAGAACATACCAACATGGCCTCCTCCAATAGTGTAAGTCTTCCCAGAACCTGTCTGTCCATAGGCAAAAACTGTAGCATTATAACCTTCGATCAGAGATGTCACCAATGGCTTAATACATGCAGTATATACTTCTTCTTGGGTTGAATGTTTGCCAAAAACAAAATCAAAAGTAAATACACGGTCTTTTCCAATGATAATTTGCTGAGTGTTAGGGACTAATCTCACACATACTTGATGGTTGTGAAGTATTTCTTTTGAAAGCAGAGGTCTAATTCTTACTGCTACTTTAACAGGAATTTCTTCCATTGCACCTTGTGTGGGATTCAATTCCTCCTTAATATATATGGTCAGTCTTTTGCACTTTAAGAAATACAAGATAATCTGCAAGAAGTGAAGAGGAATATTTTAGAAAAAAATTGCTGAAGAGAGGAACACTGCAAAATGGAAGACTGCACAGTAGGTGGTTTGACAGTAATATTTTCTCATTTTATATCCAATAATATTTTAAACAATAATATTAAATTTAATAATAGAGTGTTTCCCCCAAAATAAGACAGGGTTTTATATTAATTTTTGCTCTGAAAAATGCATTAGGGCTTATTTTCAGGGGATGTTTTATTTTATTTTTTTTCATGTACAACAATCTACATTTATTCAAATACAATCATGTTATCTTCTTCTGGTTGCTGCAGAATGGTGGAGGGTGGGGTTTTTTTAACTAGGGCTTATTTTCTGGTTGCTGCAGAATGGTGGAGGGTGGGTTTTTTTTAACTAGGGCTTATTTTGGGGGTAGTGCTTATATTATGAGCATCCTGAAAAATCATACTAGGACTTATTTTCAGATAAGGTCTTATTTTGGGGCAAACGGTATTAAAACAGCTCCTGGCCTATACTAATCAAATCTCCAGCACACATACCCTGAATGTCAAACTCTTTAATGTATTGATAACAAATTAGCAGTGTGTCTTGCTTCTGTTCTCTTATTCACCAAATTAATATGTAGTCTAAAATATAACACTAAGATATGTGAGGAAGTCTTAACTTATAATACTTGCATCAAGCTTGAATAAGCATTTATAGTGCCTTATGATACATATGTAGTTGTAATGCAGAGTTTGCACAGCAACAGTGTAAACTCTCTACCTTGAAGTGAATTCTATTGTAAGTTCAATGAGTCTTATTTGAAGCGATGCCTGCCTAGGACTGCAGTTTTGAGCTCTTTGGATTGACAGCCAAATATCAAACCAGATTCTTGACCTACATATTTATTTACAACTCCGCATAATTTTCCAAAGGTAAGTTTCTCCTATATTCATTGAAGTTCGCTCCCCACCCCCAAAGCGTTCAGAATCATCCTACTTAACGAAAACCTAGCGCTTCTCACTTTTAAATTCATAATCGCTCATTAGAACTCTCAGCATCCCTGCCCCCCCCCAGCTACGGTCATAATTAAGGGTTCATTGAAGTATATCAAGTTACGTATCCGCTTTTAAGTTACTTTGAAGAGTGGGCGAGTTTAGCAAGGCAGGCTTGGCGGCGGGGAAAGCCCAAACAAGCCAACAAACCGGGCGAGAGAGCCGCGTTGCAGAAGAGGGAGAGCATGCCTGACAACACAAACCTTGCCAGCCGGTTAAGACCCTATAAACCGCTTGTCGTTTTAATGAAATAAGCCTTGGTCTTTATTTGAGGGATTATTTCAACCTCTCCTCTCCGCCTCCGCGCCCCCCTCCCCCCCCCC